TGGGTGCACTTTGTAAAGTTGCTTGTCCTTTGTTCTAATTTTGTTTCAACATGTTGGGGTTGGGTTGTTTTTTATTTTTAAAGGGTCCTTACCTTTTTCTTGCTCGCCCGCTGTACAAAAATTGAGGTATTTGTGTTTCAAAAAGGGCAAGTATTTTTGGGACTGAAAACCTAAGTAGGAAGAGACAAAATCGTATACTTTTAAAAGCATCGCTTATGTAGCCATCGAGTCGTCTTAATTTAATTTTAATCCCGGTGGCAGCCGCCTTCTTGGTTTATTTCAAAAGATTTCGATGTGTAGACTCAGATGGCAAAATCAGGAATTTTTAAAAAATCCCATGGAGGGCAATAATAGTTCTTTTTAAATTATCTCCCCCTCCCCTGTTTCTTCTTTTAATTTAAAAACAAACAATATTGTACAGAATACAAAAAGAAAAAAAAAGAAAGAAAAACCTGCTGGAGATAATTATATTCATATTTATGTTGTGCATTGTGTATATTTATGTGTCTTGTTGGTGTATCTTTTCCCAGCTTCTGTATCTATTCTGTGTGGTGTGGTTTTTTTTTTTAAATGGAAGGTGTTTCCTCGCTAAAGAAAGTTATATAAAATATCTATTTTGCGCAAGGTGTACTCCGTCTGATCTTCTTTCCTGTTCCCCTGGGTTGCCAGTGGCCGAGTGGGTGGCTCTGGGCAAGAGGTTTCCACAGATTGTGTGTAAAAGGTGTGCAAAGCTCCCCTCCTCAGCAGGCAATGCCTTCACTTACCCCATTGCTGGGCAGGACTTAGCCAAGCAAACCTCTGTGGTTCCTACTTTACTTAGGATGCACCAAACGTGGGACTCCAACTTTCTCCTCTAAGCAACCCAGTTGGAACCCCAAGAACAAAGCTTGGATTTCAGTGGTGGCTTGTTGGCAAATGAAGCCCCCAAGGGATCCAGTTCAAATTCTGTGGCTGCTCTCTGAGCTGGGTTGTTTGCAGGCAGACGTTTCATGACCCAACTAGGTCATTGCATCAGTGTTTCAATGGTATGGAGATCCTCCTCCCCCTCCCCCTCCTCCCTGCAAACCCGATTCCCTTCTAGCACTGATGATGTTCCCTAGTTGGGTCATGAAACGTCTGCAAGGAAACAACTCAGCTCAGAGAGCACCCAGGACTCCATAGTCCTCCTCCTTCTCCTTTTCTTTTCCTCCTCCTCCTCTCTTCTTCCTCTTCCTCTTTTCTTCCTCTTCTTCTTTTCTTCCTCTTGCTCTTCCTCCTCCTTCTTCCTCCTCCTTCTTCCTCCTCCTCCTTCCTCCTCCTCTTCTTCTTCTTCTTCTTCTTCTTCTTCTTCTTCTTCTTCTTCTTCTCCTCCTCCTCCTCCTCCTCCTCCTCCTCCTTTCTCCTCCTCCTCCTCCTTTCTTCCCCTTCCTTTAATCCAACTTTTCTCTAAGCTTCACCCACTGTCAGCGCCCTAGAGGGAGGGGGTTCCCCGAAGCCCCCCAGCCCACTTGCCTCATCCGGTTGGGAAGCAGCCAAAGAGTGCCCCCCCCCCCCCCGCCCCCCCCCGACCGGCCCCGGGGCTGCGATCGCCCGAGGTGCGGAGCCGGCCAAGGGGGCGGAGGGCGGCCGCCAAGCGGGGCCGGGAGCCAAGCGGGGCGGGGCGGTCCGGCCGCCCACAAGTGGCCGCCCCCCCCCGACCCGACCCGACCCCGCAGCGGCGGCGCCTCCGCTTCCCGGGCCAGCGCTGAGCCTCGGCCGGGGCTGCCCTTCCCGCCGAGTCCCCGGGGGTGGCCATGGGCGCGCAGGGCTCGCAGGAGGAGGAGCGGCCGCCGGTCCCGGAGCACGAGGCGATCCTGGCTGAGACCGGCTGTAAGGCGCTGCCCAGCGGCCGGAGGGAGGAGGGAGCCCCGCGGGCCGCGCCCGGGCTCCGCCTGGGGGTCTTTCTCCCACTCCCCTCCCCCGCCAGCTGCGGCCGAAAGTGGGGCTCGGGCGGCGGGGAGGGGGCTGCGCGAGAGCCCGGGGGTCCCAGCGCCCCCCCCACCCTCGGCTGCGCCCGCTGGGCGGTGTAGTCCCCCGGGAGGGCGGGCTTGGCCAAGCCGGGTCGGGGCTCCGGGGAGCGTCGGGGGGACCCCGGGCAGGGGAGGGGGAGGGCCCGCCAGCCCCTCCGGCGCCAGGACGCCCCCTCCCCCAAGCCCGAGTCTTCGCCTTGCGGGGGTCCCGCCGGACTTGACCAAGGGGGCGTTGGGGGAGGGGTCGCGATTTCCCTTCTCGACCCCCCACCCACCCCCCAGCCAGCCAGCTTGGAAGCTTCCCAGCCGGGCGGGGAAGGGCTGCCTGGGGGGGGGGGGGTCGGCCCCGACGGACATCTGGGGGGGGGGGGGCAGGGAGAGGGGGAACCAGGCTGCAGGTCGGGTGGGCGAACACGGGGAGGGGGCGGCCCGTTGCCTTCCACTCGTTTGGAGCCCTCGCGGGCTGCTCTGCCTGACCCGGAGGAGCGGCTCCTTCCCCCGGGGCGCAACTGGTCCGAAAGACCCTCCCAACCCCCCAACCCCACCCCACGGGGGTTACCAGGCCGCTTGGAAGGGCTCTCCTGCCCACCCACCCATCCAGGCCT